TTCAGCTTCCGAAGGAATCTGCGGTCAATCCCTGATGAAGGTGGTGGAGATGATGCAGAGACGCGTTGTGTTTGTGTTAGGAGGAGTTCTTCAAGCCCTCTCCACCCAAGTGCACACAGGTGAGGGAGTGAGTCATTGGGACAGGAGTTCTGGAGTGAGTGTGGCGAGTTTTGTGGGTGTGTGCGTAGCTCGCTTGTTCTCGTGTCCATTCACCCACTCTCACCATCTGCCCACTCGTGTGTCATGAATGTGGTATGTGCTTACTGTCAGCTGCTGGAGTCTGCCCAGGGATCAACCTGTTCAGCGGCGACAACGCCTGGCAGGTAGGGTGTGTGTGTGTGTGTGTGTGTGTGTGTGTGTGTGTGTGTGTGTGTGTGCAGGGGATCGTGCGCAGGGGTGCGAATCAGCGCGGTCACCTCACAACACCTCGCTGCCATCACCAACACCTTCATGCGCACACACACACGCAAATGCTCGCAGGGGGAAGATGCAAGTGGAAGGGCTGGCGTACAACACGCCCAATGACACGCCACACGATGTGATGCAGGAGTCTGTATGGTGCAACACCCCCGCCCACCGACGAAAGGCGGCCAAGGATAATGCACCCATGTGATGTGTTTGCGTGTGACGATGATGATGAGGAGGAGGATGAGGAGAGGACGAAGATGTCTAACAGCGTAACCAAGATCAGCTTTGTCACTAGTTCGATAGTTCAGCCCACCTGTGTGTGGTTCCTCTGCGTCAGTACATGGAAGTAAACGCGTCGAGATGACACGATGTCAGCCAGGCAGTGAGAGAGTGTGTGAAGCAAAGCAACGCAAAAGACAAGCAACAAGAGAGAAACAAGAGAGAGGGGGAGATGAGCCAACGCGCGCCACCACCTCTTCATCGCCAAGTCGAAGCAAGCAAGCCAGCAAGCAAAGAAGAAGATCAAGAAGTAAACCGAACCAAGCCAGCACCACAGCAGCAACACAGCAACAGCAACCACAGCAACACAGCACGCCAAAAAAAAAAAAAGAAGAGAAGAGAGCAACATCACCCGTGATTCCCGCCTGGTCACCCACGGCAGTACTGAACGGGCCCAAACGGGCTTAGCTTCCGCGATCGGACGAGAGCGGGCGTGATCCCGTTGGTTTGAACGTTGCCGACAGTACAGCAAGACAAGCAATTTATCAAGGCAGAGCCAGCAAGAAGAGGAAGAGGAAAATCGCACACACACCAAAAAACCGGTTGTTTGCTCGTTTCTGCTCGTTTCTGCTACCGATTCTGCTTTCCAACCAACCAACCAACCAATCCACTCGCCGTTACTTCATTCTTCTTCTGCGCAGCAGCCCCATGTGTGTGTGATGGTGATGGTGGTGGGAATGGTGATGGTGATCATGGTCGTCGTCATCGCTGACAGGCAGGTGGGGTGGAATGAAGTGAGGTGAGGTGAGGTGAGGTGAGGTGAGGTGGGGATGTGTCATTGGTTCGTGCACACACACACATTAGTGGTTGTGCGTGCCACGTTCCTTCCTTCTTCCCTTCCTTTCTTCCCATCGTCGTCCTCGCTGACGCATTCACACACGCACACACACACACACACATGCACAGGGAGTCTCTCCCCCCTTCTCCCTTCCATCCATCCATCCTCCCTTCCATCCGTCCATCGTTGTCCATTTCCTTCTCCTGTGATGCACACACACACACACCAACCAACCAACCAACCACCGACCACATGAATGACCCATCCATCGACAGGTGAGGGTGAGATGGAGTGCTCTCACTTCTTCCTCCTCCACTCCGTTCTCCTCCTCTTCCCCTTCTTCCCCTTGCACACTGCGCACAGAAGCAAACAACCACCCCCATCAACAACAACAACACCACAGTTCACGCTGTCATCGTGCACACACAGCCACACACACACACACACACACACACACACACACACACACACACACACACACACACACACACACTTGCTCACCGTTGTGTGGTGACAGAACAACTGCCATCAACCACCGTCATGCAGCGGCGACCCTGAGAATGGATCATGCAGCCTCTCAACCAGTGAGCAGCACACACATGTGAGAGAGGGGGGATGACATCAACCAACATCACAGCCAATGTGTGTGTGTGTGTGTGTGTGTGTGTGTGTGTGTGTGTGTATGCACGGGGTTGTGTTTCTTCTCCTCCTCCTCCCCTTCCTCTCTTTCCTCGTTTTGTCTGTGACACACGCTGCTCACTGCTGCCGTTGTTGCTTGCTTGTTTGTGGTGGTGCGTGCAGATGGATGCATTCCATCATCATCATCATCAGCAGCAGCAGCAGCAGCAGGTGCTGGCTGATGCGCGAGGCAGTGGGCAACTCCCACCAACCAACCAACAAATGACTGCGTGCTGACAGACGATTGGTAATCGAACCACTGCTGTACCCAGACAGGTTTGTGTGTGTGTGTGTGTGTGTGTGTGTGTGTGTGTGTGCGTGTGTGTGTGTGTGTCGACGTGCCTGTTCTCTTCTCCACCCACCAACACGCCATCATCACCACCACCTCATTTTCTTGTGTCTTTGCTCACATCCTTCCCTTCCCATCCTCACCACCACCATCACCACCACCCTCCACACTTGCTCGTTTCCCCTTCCTTCTTTCTGCTGTCGCCACACAACAGGGCCCTTGAGCCAGCAGCTGTCACCCACCTCCCTCCACCAACCACCACTGCTCTGGTGGGATGAACAGACGGGCGCTGCCATGTGATGACCATCCAGCCACGCCTGTGCGGCTGTGGAAACAGCAGCAGCAACTCACACCACACCACAAGCAAGCCATGAGCAACGTGAGTGCATCACTGCACGTATATGTGTGATGTGCACAGCGGCAGCGTGCGTGTTTTGTGGTCGCTGTCTCTGCTGTTCCTGTCTCCCCTTGTTGTCCCACATCAATGTGTGCATGTGTGTCGTGCGGCTGCCTGTTTTGCCTTGCTTGATGCGCTGTCTCATTCGTCGTTCTCACACACAACTGCTTGCACACCTGCACATTCTTCACCTTGCAGCTGCTGCTTATATTCCCCTCTCTTTCTCGCCCTCCCTGACGGCTATCACAACAACAACAGCAGCAGCAGCAGCCAACACACCCTCCACCGCCGATGCAGCAGCAGCAGAGAATGCACCACCACCACCAGCATCACTTGCAGCTGAACACATTCCCCAACCAACCAACCCATCGCCCGCTGCTGCTTGCAGAAGCTGGCTGCCTGCTGCTGGGAACAGGTGGCGACAGCACAAGTTGCATTTTCGGCTCGAAGCAGCAGCAGAGGTGAGGGCGAGAAGAGGGGAAACGGAGAGGAGATGTATGTTGATGGATGGATGGATGGATGGGGTGGGGTGGGGTGGGGGATGCTGGGTGAGTGTGGTGTGGTGCGGTGTGGCTGGTGACAGGGGATGATGGTGGTGGTGTGAGGAAGAGGGATGGATGGATGGATGGGGTGCCGCATGTCTTGTTCCTTCCCTTTTGTTTTCTGTTTTCTCTCTCTTCCCTTTCTTCTTCACATGCATGCACAGCAGCAGCAGTGGCAGCAGCGGTGTAGCTGCGCACATATTCATACTCCCTCTTTCCCTCCCACTCACTCACTCACTCACCATGCTGGTGCTCGCACGCAAACACACTTACAGGTGATACGCACGCACAGACAGCAGGATGAGGGAAATGTCGAGGCTACTTGCCACGCGTGCCAGCTGCACCCGCTTCACACATGGTATGTGCGTGGTGATGAGTGGTTGTTGGTTGTGTGCTGCGATGTGGCGGTGATGGGGTGCGGTGAAGCGAACAAGTGGAAGAGGGTTGATGGGGGATGATGATCACACACGCACACACACACACACGCGCACACGTGTTGCGTGTGATGTCACTCACTTCTTCTGCTGTGCTGACGTGATGGCTTGCTGTCTGCCTGTTGTGTTCTGTTCCCATCCACGTTCCCTGCAACCACGCACATGCACAGGTGCTGAGGTACCAGCACACATCAGGATGTTGATGGATGTGGGCTAGCATGCCGGCGGCTGCTGCTGCAACTTCCCCGATTCGGCTGCCGCTGTTGTGCTCATGCAGCGTTCCCACATGTGAGCAAGGTGAGCCCATAATGCATGCTTTGGTTGGCACATGGTGCATGTGTTGGTGTTGTTGCTGCTGTGGGTGTTTGCTGTTGTTGCTGCTGCTATGCCTCATGTAGCAGTGTAGCTGCGCCGCTCACATGCAAAGTGTGTGTGTGTGTGTGTATGTGGCTGCAGGGGGGCGATTGCGTGAGTATCGTTGGAGGATGATGGGCGGGTACACACATGATGGATTGGGAGGAGCAGCTGTGGACACACACGTCCATGGTCATGGTGGGCACATCCAACCACAGCGACGCAGCTATGTGCAGGTGTGTGTGTGTGTGTGTGTGTGTGTGGTTATGGTGGAGCGGGGGGAGGGAAGCAGAGGAGGGAATAGGAAGGTGAACGCGTCTGCTGTGCTCACATGCCATGCCTGTACCTCGTGTGTGATCATGTCGTTGTGTCTTGTCGTTGTGTGTTGGTTGCATGCGCACCAGGGCCACATCAGAGGAGGGGAAGGAAGCCGCCATGAACGACCCATCATCATCATCAACCTTCCCCATTTCTTTCTCCTTTCTCGCTCTTCCACCTCAGCTCCTCAGTCACCATCACCATCGACCGCACAGCCGACATCACACGCGGGCCGACACCAGCTCCAATCTGGCGTGAGGCAGACATTGCACATGTCAGTCGCTCTGATGAAGAGGTGAGCAATGTGCGTGCTTGTGCGGGTGCATGGTGGTGAGCGGGGACAACATGTGTGCGTGGATGTGTGTCAATGCGGGTGGTTTGATGGGGCTTGCGTGTGATTGATCATGCTTCGCTGTCAACCTCACCCCCTGCATTCTCTCCCATCTTGTGTCTGTGCACACACGTTTGACAGCGTTGAGGAGGCGCATGAAGCGGTGGAACCAACAACGATGATGACGATGACGAGTGATGAAGGTGAGAGGGCGACTGAGATGTGTGTGCGTGTGTGTGCGTTGGTTGAAATGTTGTGTTTCCTCCTTCTCCTCCCACTTTCCTTGTCTGTTCTGTCCACTCATGCGTCTTTTCTTCCTCTCCCCCTTTTTGCGCTTGATTGTGACACAGGGCCATGCATCCCGCTTCCATCCAACCGACCAACCAAGCAGCCGAGCGAGCGAGCAAAGGACACGGCGTGGCAAGGGGCCGTTTGTTTTCACCTTTTCCACCAGCAGCAACAACAGCAGCAACAGCCGATGTCTGGCTGCATTGTGGATGAACTGGCCCTCTGCCTCTCGTTCATGTCCACCTCCCCCTCGTCCTCGTCGTCATTGGTCGCCAACAGCAGCGGCTGCGGCCATGGATGTGGAGGTGAGATGAATGGGTGGGGGTTGAGGTGATGTGGTTGGTGTGTGTGATGTGTTGGGTGTGAGCATCAGCATGTACATGTGCGTGATTGATTGTGATGTGTTGGTTGGATGTCATTGGGTCTGCTGGTGCTGGCAACGGGTGTTGTTGTCGTTGACAGCCTGATTCTGTGACAACTCACCTCTTTCTTCACACGCACACGTACAGGGTGTGATGTGCGTCGATGTGCCGTCGCCTCGCGCGACGACGCTGCTGCTGCTGGTGGTGAGTGGTTTGTGGTGCATGTACACGGCGCACGCACACGCATGTGCAGGTGTGCTGCTTGTGGCGGTGGTGGCGGTGGTGTCTGTGGTGGGATGTGACATGTGCGTGCACGGGTGGTGATGTGGGTGATGTGAATGTGGCAAACGAGGTGGATGTGGTTTGTTTCTGCCATGCTGGCTCACTGCGTGGTGTCATTCTTGCTGATTTGGTTCTTTGTGCTTGCGCGTGTGTACATGTGTGTGATTTGCACAGGACGGTGGCCGATCTCTTCCCAAGCCCTCATGACACGAGCAGGGCGATACACGCACACACAATTGTGCGAGAGAAGAAGGCACAAGGTGAGACGTTGGCTCTGTGTGTGTGTGTGTGTGTGATGGGGTGGTAGTACACATTCACACGCACATACGCACGCACGTACACGCATCTACACATGCATGCTAGCACACCAGAGCAGACATTGGCTGTGGGGTGGTTGCACTGACGTGTGTCTCACATGAATCAATCACACAACTCAATGTGTGTGTGCGTGTGTGCGTGGCTGCAGGCGGACGTTGTGCGGGTTTCCCCAACCGATTTCCCTTCCGCCTTTCCCAACCAATCGCCTTTGCTCTGTGTCATCATCATCATCAGCCTTCCCCATGTGATGTGCAGCTGCTGAGGCGTGATCGAGACAGCGGCCAACACAGGTATTGCAGTGGTGGATATGGTGGATATGATATCGCGTGTTTGCTTGCTTGCTTGTTGGATGCTTGCTTCGTTGTTCTTGTGTGTATCTGGTTCACCCGCCCACAACATGCTGCATATTCCCATGCGTGGTCCTTTGTGTCCCTCCTTTCTGTCCTCACCATCACCGGTCGTTGTTCGTCTCTGGTTGGTTTCTCTTGCCCCACAGGCACGCAGGCAGGCTAGCTCGCTGCTGCTACTGGTGCTGCTGTGATGATGGCCGTGCGTGTGCCTGTGCGCTGTGCACCGTGTTTGGGGCTGCACGGATGAAGACGAGGAATGACATGGCCCGTGCCCACCACTCTTCCCCCATTATCTCCCCTTTCTGCTCCATCAGCGGTAACGATGGTGGCCGTGGCGTGTGATTGCGCTTCCTTTTTCTGGCTTTGCTGTGGCACATTGGCTGGCTGTCTCGCTGCATCAAGCACAGGTGAGGATAATCGTTGGCGGTTGGTTGGTTGGTTGGTGGGCTGGGTTGTATGGAGTGGTGGGAAGCAGGGGGGGGGGAGGGAAGTGACACGGTGAGAGTAGTGGGAGTGCAGAGCGAGAGGAGGGAGAGGGAAGGGAAGTGATAGGAGGGCGATGATGTTGGTTGGGAGATGGGGGTGCGTGTACACATACATGCACGTGAATCGTGTGATGGTGGTGGTATCACATGGCACTGACACACATATCAGTGGCTCATTCCTTTTGCTTGTACCTGTGATTGTGATTGCGTGTGATTGTGATGATGACTGCAGCAGGCAACACACGGCGGTGGATGCTGGATTGGATTGGCTGGGGTTGACTGGCCGTCGTGTCGTGTCGCCCATTTCTCTCCCTCCGTTACTCATCTCAAGTGGGCACACACACACAGCAATGTGTGCGTATGCGCGTACATGTGTGTGCATCGCCATCAACCACGCCGACAGCAACACGATGCACGAGGTGAGGGCACGCAATGTTGTGTGTGTGTTTGGTGGAAGGGGTTGAGGGGAAGAGGGAGGAAGGCGTTCATCATGGCCATTATCACCACCACGGCTGTGTACCTGGTCATGTGACCGTGCATTTGGGGGATGGAGATGGGGAGAGGGATGTTGCTGTGGTGGTTGTTGTGGTTGTGTTTGCATTGCTGTGCATGCGTGTGCATGGTGCACCGTCTCACTCTGCAATGCCATGTGTGACTGTGTGTGTGTGTGTGTGACTGCAGATGTGCGTGCGCGTGTGCGCATATGTCAGGCAGATGCGTTGATCGACGATGAGGTGTGTGTGTATTTGTGTGTGATTGACCTTTGTGTTCTTGTGCCATCACGCAACGCACAACACCAACCACATCATCATCATCATCACCACACCCCGTGGGTAGTTGTTGTCCACTTATACATGGCATGCTCACATCCACCCTCTCACTTCTTGCTTCTTCTCCTTCCTCTCTGCTGCTACCACCCCTTCCACTGTTTCCCTCCACCCCTTTTCACACACGCAGACAGAGGCACCCATCCACATCCAACACCCATGCCCACACCCACACCCACATCCAGGCATGACACACCATGGCGAGCTGTGCCACCTCAACCAACACAACTCAACCCAGGCCGAGGAAAGGAAGAGGGGAAGCAAGGACAGAAGACGTGGGGCTCCCAACAGATGTGTGTGCGTGTGTTGATGGACGGTGTTCTCCTTTCCACCCTCCATCACCTCGCCGCTTTCTTCCATGGCGATCTGGCTGGGTGGCTGTTGCCCCCTCCCCCTTGTTTGTTTTCTCTTCCAGCCCTTTGTGTGGCTGTTGGCTGTCTGTTGTGACTGTGAAAGGGGAGGGAGGAGGAGGAGAGAAGAGGAGGGGATGCATGCTGTCCACAACTGTGTGTGTGTGTGCTGTTTCTTCTTCTTTTCCATCCCCCTTTCTTGTCCCCTTTCTTCTTCCCTCCGCAGCCTGCAAGGCCTGTGAACCTGCGTTGCATTCACACACACAGTGCTGTCCCCCTTCTCCTTCTTCTCCTCCTTGTCTCATTGAAACCAACCAACTCAATCAACCAAGCATGCAAGCAAGCAAGCAAGTCCGCCCTTCAACAAGCAACAGCAGAAAGCAAACAGCAGTTGCCGCACAACCGCAGCAGTGGGCGATTATTTGTGGCATCTTCCACAAATCGCCCAAACACGAACCAACAAGACCAACACACACAAACAAGCAGCAGGCGAAACGCGAATCAAGGTGCGTGTGTGTTTGAGTGGGAGGTGGCTTGCGTTGTTCGTGTGCGTGGCTGGCGCAGTGTTGGTGGAGAGGAGGGAGAGGGTGCGCGTTGTGACGGGCACTCACTGGCGGTTCTGTTGTGGGTGGTTTCGTTTGGTTCCGTGGATTGTGTGGGGTGTGGTGGGTGATGGTGTGATGGTGAACAGTTGCAAGCAGAGAACAGGCACAGCAGCGCCACACCATGGACGTGTGCAGGGCCAAAGGCATGCAAGGCATTGCCCACGGTCGGTGAGGCTGACGTATGTGCTGCACAGGCCCATGGCACGCTGGCACCGTGAGTTTGGGTGAGTTCTGTCAATTGGCTTGACTGCTGTGTGGGTGCGTGTGTTTGTGTGTTTGTTGATGGAGAGGTGGGACGTGGCTGTGGTGGGTGTTGTGATCTCACACGCACTCCTGCTGCTGTGGATGCATTTGGCTCACACGCAGACAGAAAGGGATGATGGACTGCATCGGTCCACACATGTGTGAACACACACACACGCGCACGCGTGCTGGTAGGCAGTCTGATGCCACCTCACGGTGCGTTGCACTTGCATGTGTGACAGTGACTTTGTGCATGTCGTTCATGCTGTGTCTGCTTGTGATTCACACTGTGTGTGTGTGTGTGTGTGTGTGTGTGTGTGGCTGCTTGCTTCCCTCTGTCTCACACATGTGCTTGTATGGATGGTGACACACGCACAGGCACACAGTGAGTGGGTGTGCAGACACACCTCCCCACACAGGCAAGGCAGGGCACACTCTTCCTCCTCTCCCTCCTCTCCCTCTCTCTCCTGCTGCCACCACCGCTGCTGCATGGATGGACCAGTGGATGCAAGGGGTGTTGGATGATGCTGACTGGCTGATGTCGTGCACTTGATGCGTGTGTGTGTGTTGCGCTGCTGCTTGCTCTGTTCCCCCCTGTTTGTGTCTATTGTGTCTGTTGTGCGTTGCTGCTTCGCTGTGTGATTGTGTGTGTGCGTGTTCACCACAACCACGTCGTGTGCGCCCATCACCATCGTCTGTGCTCACGCACCTCCCATCTCTCCCTTTCTTCTTCTTCTTCTGCTCGCTTCCCCCTTCCCTCTTCGTCATCCCCTCACACGCACATGCACACAGACACATGGACGTTTGTGCAGGGGAAGTGCAGGCTGTTTGTTGGAACCCAAGGCACGCACAACCAAGCAAGGACACGAGCAAGCAAGGGCACAGGACAAGCAAGCAGGACGTGGGCGTGCCATAGACCACGCACCTCGTTGGAGAAGGAGGGGAGCGTGAGCGGGTGGTGTTGCATTGTGTATGTGTTGTGTTGTTGTGTTGTGTTGTGTTGTTGTTGACAGGGTGCACGTCTCTCTCCTTGTGTCCTTCTGCCTTCTTCCCCCCTTTCCCTTTCTCTGTTCTCTCTCTCTGTTCTCTCTTGCCACAGCATGCACACTGCTGCTGCTGCTGCTGTTCTTGTTGGTTGAAGGTATGATGGCGGTTGATGGGGCAGTGAAGCGGTGTGGCGTAGCATGGAGCTGTCGCTTGTTGCGTGTGTGTGTGTGTGTGTGTTGCTTGCAGTTGATATGGGGATGTTTTCTCGCTTATTCTTGCCACGTGTGTGCGCGTGTGTGTTTGCTTGCTGTCGTGTTGCTGAAGTGTAGTGGAAATATACAATGCAACACGCATGTGCAGCTGTGTGTATCGTGTGATGCTGCTGGTGGATGGATGGTTGTGGATGGTTGCGGTGAAGTCAACACGGTGTGTGTGATGTGATGTGGATTGGATTGGTGGCGAGCTGGGCGTGTGGCTGTGGAGCGGGTGTTGCATGCAGGTGAGGACAGCAGCAGCAGCAGCTGTGAACGTGGGGATGGGGGAAAGGATAAAGCGAGCGATGGTGGCAGCGACGAGTGATGGTGGTGGTGAACAGGGCTGATGTAGAAGAAGGCGACAGTGTGGGCTTGGTGGGTTTATGATGTGCTGTAACACGTGCAGCATGAAACATGAACGAGGCAGGAAAGGTCAGGAAAGGGGAAGGGAAGGAGTGGCGGCACAAAGTAGTGAACAGGGACAAGGGAAGGCATGCAAGCACATGGAAACAGCAGCAGCAACGGCAAGAATTGAAACAAGACAGGAGGGGTGGTGAAACGCAGGTGAGGCAGGCAAACAAGGCTTGTGATGACAAGGTGGTGAAAGAAAGTGACGAAGGGAAGCACAAATGCACACAGTGTGTTGTATGTGGTGTTGTGTTGTGTTGTGTGAAGTGAGGGATGTGTGATGTTGCGTGGAGATGTGCTGTGTGGCACTGAGTAGATGGAAGAGAGGAAGAGGGCCAAGGTTGAATAAAGCATGTGGGAACAAGTGCAAAGCAACAATGCAACACATGGAATGTGGAAAGGCAAAGGGAAGAGGGAAAGGCGCAAGTGAGTGAAGGGTGAGACAAAGGGACAAAGCAGCACGTGCAGGGATGTGTGTTTTGTTGTGTTGTGTTGTGAGTGTGGAGGTGGAGCAAAGGAAGCAGGAGCACAAACATTGCAAGTAGCAGCAAGCATGCACGAAGGGAGAAGGTAAAGTGGGAAGAGAAGAAGGCGATTGCAGCGAGCTTCTTACGCACCTGATCATGTCGCTGCTGGAGGCGAGAGATAGCAGGTGATGTCTGAGAGTGAATCCAAGAAGCGAGGCGATGCTGCTGAATGAAGTGGAGTGGCGTGGAGTGAAGTGGGGCGACAGAGCGGTGTGTGAATGAAGGT